CATATACTGTTGGTGGAGCTGGAAGTGCAAGGTACTCCATTTAGACACTTATTTAAAAAATATTTATGAATTCTGTCTGTTGAAATAATGTTTTTGTATTTTATTTGTAATAAAATAAATTAATTTTAAAACCAATTTTATTTATAAATTATGTCAGTTTTAATATTCTTACATCAAACAACAATTTTTTTTTAAAAAAAGGAAAACTTTTTTAAACAAAATGTGTGCATAAATTTTAACATTATTCTTAGATTTTATTTAGGAATAAAGAAAATAATTAAGAACATTTATAAAAGTGTTTAATAGCTGGGTTTCAGTCACGTGATTATGGTGACGCGCGGAACGGCGGAACTCAGGGCAGGGAGGGCAAAATCAAACATATGTTCGACGTGACCCTTACGTTATGAAGAGGAAATGAAATATTTTCCTGCAATCGAGGCTGTAGATATCAGCAACTACCTCGTCTTGCAGACATAACTTACTTTGACTTTACAAAGTTCGGAAACGTTACACAAACAGTCACTTAAGTTGTATTAACTCACCTTTGACGAAGTGATCACTGCACACACAGGCATTTTCCCATTCGGCTCCTCCCGACCGCAGATTAGTTATGTTTGCAAGCCGTTTTTTTCACAGTTTTTCGGTCAATTTCTTGCATTTTAAGAACAGCAACTTTTGGTACTCGATAAATTTCTTGTGGTTTGATCGATTCAAGTAACCACTTCCTACCCTCCATTTGTATTTCGCGCCACCCATGGCAACCCAGTGGCGTGACGTCATTTGAAAACAAGCTATTAAAAATTTAAAATGTAAGAAAAATAAGTTTATTCTTGTTTGCTTTAACATTATTCTTACCATTTAGGTGTTAAAAATAAGTTATTTAGTTAAAATGTATGAGTTAAAACGAAGAATATTTGTTTATAATTATAAACTCATATTGTTATGAAGGAGAGGATAATATGAGTTTCAGAGCAGAGCCTTTATTCAGCAATTCACATAAACTATATTTTACTATGTATATACTATGTATTTTTATATCTTAAATCACATCCTTTTGGAATGAAATCACTTATTTTTCTTATCAAGGTAACCTTCTCCCACCATTTAATTTTTAGCCCCTCCTCCACCCCGCTGCCTTGGCCACACCGACCCATGGGAGGCCTGTTTGGATCACGACAGCAGATCAGGGAGGGCAATCGTGCAGGAATCACTCAGAGAATTCTCCACCTCTGTGTACAGTGGTCTTAAAGGTTCAAAACCCCAAACCAACTTGATCTTCTCCCCATTCAGCATTGCTGCAGCTTTATATAACTTGCTTTTGGGTAAGAATGAACTTCAGAGTCAAAAAAAGGCTACACATTGTACTTTGTTGACCTGCTGAGCCTCTTCTTCCTCTTGACCTCTTTGCAAGGTGCACGAGGTGTGACCAGGACACAGTTGGAAGATGCTCTCAAGCTTCCTCCAAAATTCTCCTGCTTGCATTCTGAAATAAAGAATCTGAAACAAGTGATGAAGGACACGCTGGGAATTGCCTCTGCCATGTTTTATTCCCCAGGTAGACACAGAACATACTGATAAGCTAAGATAAGCACTTTATGAAAAAGTCGTAGGCCTATACTTTAGCATACTTTTTAAGAGTTTCCTTATTGCGGGAATACCATAATATTCTTAAGTGCGACGATGAATGATTGTACAATGAAAATTTACAATATATAGTATTATAGTTTTCATTTACGTATATTAAATGCAAAATTTGTTGACCCACTAAGTAGGAAATCTTTAAATTTTACATAATTCTGTTGTCTTTGAAACATGCTACACCGTACTTAAACTATTAATTTTTGGTTAACAAAAATATACTTTAATTTGTATTTAAATATTATTGCAATAACATTTGTTATATTGAAGTTATAATTTAATACATTCAAAATGTGATGCATATCAAATATTAAAATCAGATCCTTTACATGTGCTTTAGTCAACATCAAAATACGTGTAGTTCAAAGTAGAATAGGTTTAGGATTAGGGTTAGTTATGTAATGCTTAATTTATAGTTATTACTATGTAACAAGGAAACTGTAAAATAGTGATACCAAATACACTTTAAATTAGAACTTCTTTTTTGCAAGGGTCTTTTAGGGTGATGCTTAACAGCAATGCACTAGTTAAATCAGAATCACTTATTCTGGACTTCATTTTGATTCTGCCTAATATACGTACTATTGCAGGAAGTCATAGCATAGCTGCATGATTGTCATGTCCATATCCCTGAAGTTTTATGTCCTTATAGAGCAACAGTTGGGAGAAGCTTTTATCAACCAATCACTGGAGTTCTATGATGCCATGCCACAGAAGCTGACCAATGACAGCGATCTAAACGTGAAGCTCATCAATGAATGGGTAGCAGATAAGACAAACAAGAAAATCACTGAGTTAATTACAGATGTGGATCACTCCACTTCGTTTGTTCTGTTAAATGCCGTCTACTTTAATGGTAAGTGAGTAAAGAGACGCTATTCTGGTTTCTGAATACTTTACCTATTTATTTTTTATGAGACTGTTAGTGTTTCTTTGTGCTTTACAGGCAAATGGAAGACAGTATTTGAGACCACAAACAAACTGGAAAAGTTCACTACATTTTCTGACAAGGCCAAAGATGTTCCGACTCTCTACAGCTCCAAATACAGCCTTCAAATGGGCTACTTCAAAAATTTAAATGCTGATGTAAGTATTGCAATGAATGCACAAGGGTCATTCTCAGGAAAAGGTGCTATTTATGACCCTTTGACTTGATCATAATAATATCAACATGATACTTAACTTAATCACATTGTTTTATAGATTTACCTTGTTTGGTGTATAATGCAAAATAGTAAAAAAAATTGCATTCACTATATTATTAAAAAATATATATATTTCTTAGTGCTGTCAAATTGATTAATTTCTCTCAAAATTTTAAGAATTTTTTTTTTTCTAGTAAAATTTTAGTTTGGTATGCTGGAATGATATCTGCTAGTTAAGGCAGTTTTTACACTAATCGCCATTTTGCATTGCTTAGTTTAATAATCAGCCACCTATAGATAAATTAAAAAATTAAAATCAAACCAATACATTTAGGAATACAATTTAAATGATATAATTAAACAGATTTAAAAATGAATAAACAAATAATAAAAATCTAAATAACAAAGGATTCAAAATAATTAATTATCTAAATATTATTTTATTTTTATTTTGATTTTTTTTTACATGCACAAATAGCACAGTTTCCTGAAAATGAACAACAAGCAGATGCACTGTATTTGTACAAATGCAAACTAGGGCTGTCAAACGATTAATTCGCGATAAATCATAATATATGTGTTTGCATACTATATGTGGGTGCACTGTGTATAATTATTTTGCATATATATATATATATATATATATATATATATATATACTGTATATATAGATAAATACACACACATGCATGTATATTTAAAAAATATATTATTTATATATAAAATATTTATATTTATATATAATATAAATTATATATAAATCTATATACAGTATATACATGAAAAAAAATTCTTAAATATACAAGCATGTGTGTGTGTTTAAATATATAAAATGATTATACACAGTGCACCCACATATATTATGTAAACACAAACTTTTATTTTGGATGCGATTTATCAGGATTAATCGTTTGACAGCCCTAATACAAACACATACAATACAGACCTATTTCTCCAGGTAGGAAAGTTCCCTCTGACAGGCAAAAACAGCCTGTACATACTGGTCCCATCCACACCGTCAGAAGATGACTTCTTATTGATGGAGAACAATTTAAACTTCAAAACTATTGATGAAATGGTTTCCAAGATGAACAAAATGCCAATCCAAACTGCTGAGGTCACACTTCCTATAATTAAACTGACTGAGACCACACCACTGGAAAAGTTACTGAGCAATCTGGGTAAGAATTTTCATTTAGTCTAAAATGCTGAGGCAAGCTAGAATGTAAAAATTCGGCCATCATTTACTCATCCTTATGTCAAACCAAACCTCTCAGTAGGAGACTTTTTTTTTTTTTTTTTTTTTTTTTTTTTTACAAATATACAGTTTTATTTTCCATACAACAAAAATATTATCAGAAAATTATGCACTCCAGAATAACTTTGTGTGAGGAAAAGAGACTGAAAATCTTCTAAAACATTTTTTTCACATAAAACTATGATCTGGCTTATTAAATAATAGTGCAAGAATCAAATGGACCACTTTTATCATAGGTTTAGGATCATTTTATGGTGCTTTTTAGTTCTTTTCGGAGCCTGACAACAATGAACTGTCATTGTATGGAAAAAGGAAGCATGTATACTATTAAAGTTCTCATTTTGTATCTCATGAAAAAAAAAAATGAAGATGAGTAAATTATGACAGAATTCTCCTAACCTCTCCTGCTCCTCAGGTTTGACAGATCTCTTCTCAAATCCTAACTTGTGTGGAATGTTTCCGGATGAATCTGAATCATTCATCTCAGACGTTCGTCATAGTGCTTTTCTCTCGCTCACGGAGAAGGGAGCGGAGGCCGCCGCAGCCACAAGCATTTCTTTTTCTCGCTCCTCCTCTTCATTCTCAGCCTTGCAACCCTTCATTCTGATCCTGTGGAACGACGAGGCTGCCATTCCTCTTTTCATGGGGAGAATTATTGATCCATAAAAAAAGAGAGAGAGAAAGACATCACAGTAGTGTTCTGCCACAAAAAAAATAAATAAATACTGAAACTTTCTGTTGTACATTCATTCATTTATCACAAACAAATGCAGATGTAACAATATCATGTTATGCATAGAATAAGAATGCATGCAGAATCTCTGTCATTAAAGATGTACTTTACACCATGCATTCGTGGGTTAATACTGTTCACTCTATTTGGAACATTTTCCATTACATGACAAGAAATCCATCGCGTGAATGAAAGGTTCTAGGACTCAAACGCACACAACTCGCTCTCATTTCCAACAGCCACTGTGGCACCAATTTATTTCTGAGACGCAGTTACAGAGACGGACACACGATGGCAGTCACATCACAAGTTCCACACAGACAGTCAATGAGGAAAAGTGAGTGTGACTTGAATAATCCTCCTTCAGTTTGACCTCAGTCATTAACGCTCCGCCTGGAGTCCCATCTTGGCTGGCAGGTGGTGCCAGTCCATTATCTAAATGCCATGCGGTTTCGTCAAAGGTAGCCTAGATTGTCCCAGTTCACTGAGCAAAAACAAATACCCTTAGATGGGCTCGAGGATGAATATTAGGACAAACATAAGCACTGCAGATCGGTGGTTCATCAAAGCATATGTGACATTCACTTGGCATGCAGCTGCTTATAATAACATTTGATAATTAATTTTACACCGTTTAGGCAATTCATTTGATAACCCACTTGTTAAAAAAAAAAAAGCAGACCCCCAGGTCAGGAATGGCAGAGAGAGAGCCATGGAAGGACAGAATTATGTTGTTGTGCAATTAAATGTCAAGACCAGATTAAAAGTAGATTCAGGTAGTTGGTAAATGATTTGAATCTAATAGCTAATAATAAATGCAATCACAGGGACACAATTATAGCCGAAATTCCCACGCAGTGGCAAGAAACGTGGATCGTTTCACAGAGCTGATGGACTGCAAAGCAAGTGTATCCTTTAATTGCTTGACTTTTTGTGTTCTGACTCTTTCGTAGACATCCTTCGACAGGTATTTTGTCCATGATTGCTCATTTAACCCCTAATGGGGTGTGCAGTTGTGCAGGAGGCCTGCCAGAGGCGATTCACTCTCCGTACTGGATCTGTCCTGGCAGTTAGACCTCTAAACCAGTAGAGGATGCCGGAGAGAAAGCGAGAAAGTCTGCTTTAGCGAATCTTTTTTTTTGTAGGAGACTGTACAAACATTCAACAGAGTTACGTACAAAGACAAAAACGTAAACTGGGGTCATTCACACACACACACACACACGCACACACCAACAGACACACACATTCACGTTGTGCAGATCGTTGAGGCGACTGCCGTTTAGATCTGCGGCAGTTCTTGAGTGATCGTTTATATCCAGAGGTTTTCTTTCATTGCATTAAAGGTCCCTTGTGCTTTTCCTGTGCATCTTGTTTTTGGCGGGCTGGAAGAGACTGTAAACTTTCATACGTAACAAATCACAAAAGGTAAATACATAGATACACATAGACATTTACAGTCAGCTGGATGTGTTGTGCTTTGACAGTGTGCAAAATTACGGCACCACCAACTGTAACAAACACCAGGATGCTATTACACGTTTTACATGTAATAAACAATAACACTATAATATGGCATGAGCCCCTGTGGCATAGTCACAACACAGTACGATTTCACATAAGTGACGTATAGACCAGAAAAAGGGGTCGATTCTTTGTGCGTCACAATCCAGGTTTGTGATCACACTTGCTTCTTTCTCATCACAAAAGAATGTGATACTTAGCTGTACAGTAGATTATTTTGCTTTTTCTCACGCATTAATATTGAAAGTCATCATCATCATCATCATCATCAGACAGAGCATTATTGCATTTATATATCATTATTACTTCATTGTTTTTGTATTACTTATCGAGGGAATTGTCTCCTTGTCTGTGTTAGTCACTGCTACCGGATCCTTGTTGTGTCAGTGTGTGCCAGTATTCCACTTTCTTTCCTTTGTATTTTAGACACTCAAACCACTGTTTCAGTCTGTCTCCTTTTGCATTGATCCCCAATTCAACTCCACCTGAGAAAGAGAGAAAGAGAGAGAACAATAAGATACCAAACCTATCTAACTGAAAATCTATCTATTGTTCCTAATTTATAAATATATTATTTACATTATTATTATCATTCATTAAATCAAATTAAAACCATCAAATTAAAACCTTAAAAACATTTTCGTCACTTTAAATAAAATAAAGCAACTGAAATTAATAACTTAAGCTAATTACTTAAGTTCATTTTAAGCTAGTTATGAACTTTTTTCATTTATTATGAAAATACATTTATTTTATTTATTTTAGAAATACAAAAATAATGAATATATACAAAATTATTAAAAAATGTATGGACATATTGTAAAAATATTAATAATGACAAAACCACAACAAATGGACAAAAACTAAATAAATCACAGTAAAAACAAAAAATACAAATCTAATAGTATAGTATAATAGTATCAGTGATACTAAAAGTTTTTTTGATACTAGAAGTCTCAGTATCCGACCCCCCACCCCCCCGCCCCACCCCGCGTGTTATTGTTGGTATTTTGGTAACTTAATCTGTATCCGGCAATTTAATTCAGCGTAAACTCTTCTAGGTTCTGTCTTGGGCTGCCCTGTCACAAGAAGGTAAGACTAGGGAACATTATTTAAAATATTTAAAATCAGAAACATTTTGATACCTAGTGTGCTCTTTATATTCTAATAAATTAATTAATTTTGCTTGTGAATATCCTTGTATCTCTTAATTAAAGCTGCAGTCCGTAGTTTTTCCACTTTGTCGCCATCTGTGTTCCAAATCTGCAATGGCAGTCATTCGCGGAATTATCAACTTTACGGCCTCATTTACTCTGCATGGTTCAAGTTACCCAAATCCGATTTTTTTCCCTCTAAAAAAAGTAGCATCAAGCCCAGACAGTAAACATACATATGTGTTTCATATGTGCATCGCATCTGTTTTAGTTTGACTGTGGTTCTCTTGGCTTCTGAGAGTACAAAGTACCTTTGTTCTAGACACTTCAGCGTGTCTGCCAGTCTAATACCTGAACTCGCTCTGAAATTGCATGTCAATGTGTCTGTGGACACAAGCTGCGTTTCATTTCATCAGGCCCCTCACGTACTGAGATTTTGCCCTGCTTCGATCACTCCTACACAAACATGCACACCTCACATCAATACCGCATGTTCATGGCCACGAGCAAGTCATGACAAATGAAACCTACACGCATGACATCTCCGCCATGGGGAATGAAAGAAAAAGAAAGGAAATAGACAGGAGTGGGTAAAAAAAAAGTTCCAAGAAAATGTTAAATAAATTCTAAGGTTCATTGCACATGTCAATCCGAGACCTGCGTCTTCCATGTGCATACAAGCCTCCGTTTGTTCACATCCCTTTATTTCATTTTCCGTCCTCAATATTCAACATTAAAGGTGCCCTGACATGAAATTTTCATTTTCTGTGGTTTTTCAACATTAATATGAGTTCCCCTAGACTGTATTTGGTCCCCTCGTGTCTAGAATTTTCAATCGCTGTAAACCAAGCTTTGGCTATTTTTCTCTTCTCTGCATCCGTCTGCATCTCAGACGCGCTGATCTAGAATCTCCCCCTAAATACGTCATATAGTAGAAAGGTTACTCCCCTTTCTCTGCTTTACCCGCCCAGAGACGTACAGTACGAACATTTTTTTTTTCCTAGCTTTGAGATTTGAGTTTTTCCTCGAGAAATATCATGGCTTGCAAACAAGCGAAGCATGGCAGTTGCTTAGTGTTCGGATGTACAAATGAACACAAAAGTATTTTTTAGTTCCTTCATTCGCGCCTCTGAAGAAACAATGGGTTAATTTTATTTTCTCTGGAAATGCGGCGACTCAACTCCCAAAGTTTTGTATGGCTAGGAGACAGGTAAGTTAATCTTTCTCTCAAAATCGTTCGATACTGTTTATGCATCAGTAAGTCAAGCCAGACTTTTGTCAAACTGCGTTACACTGCACAACGAAGCTCTTGCTGTACATCATCATGTCTGCATTGGTGAAAGCAGAGAGTGCAGATCTGCATGATTATTCAATAAGGTCTTAATTCTCGCGATCGACAGACTGCCATCTGCTGCTCAATACTCATCACAGCAATATTTTATGTGATGAGAATCTAAATACTTCAAAAACTTCTCACGATTCAGTAATCTCCATATCTGTAATAGTAAAAACGTATAATGGCTGTAGTAAAACGTATTCAAGAGAGTTTCACATGTAATATGTAGCTATTTCATATGCAAGCATGTCAGCCAATCACAGCAGTGGGCGGTTACATTGAATCCCACAGCAGGCACGCCCCTTCTAACAGACCGTTCTAAGCAGAGGCTAAAATCAGGCTAGGCAAAATGCCTTTTATTTCTAAATTATGACTATTTTTGATCTAAAAAAAAAACATACTAACATTATAAGGGAAACCCAGGAAACATTATAGAATAATAATAAAAAAAAACATGTCACATATCAGGGGACCTTTAATTATAGCCATTCAGCATTACAGTACCATTGAACGCAATACATTTTTAACATTTATTAGCCTTTAAAAAAATAACAACTTAATGAACCAACTAATGAACAATCTTCACAATAACTCATTATAATAAATGTCACATCATCATCCTTTCAGCATTTTTCTTCATGTACGTAAACAATTGTTTCTGTTCTACTTAAGTCAACAAACATATTTTTGCTTGTAAAACTCACCTATGAAGTCATTGCTCATGCCCAGGTCATAGTCCCAGACTGAGATCTCCAGAGTTTTCTTGGCGAGCTGATCATGTGGGACTTCATAAGAAAACTCCTGGGTTGAAGAGGACATTAATCAGTTTTGGCAGAGGAAAACATCACAACATCTACTGTATATTCACTTTGAGTGAAGGTGTGGTCACATTCAGCTTTGAGCATGCAAAATTATGAGCAACAAGATAGGGGGCTCTATTTTAACGATCTACAGTAAGCGCATGGTCTAAAGCACACGATGCAAGTGCACATAGGGCGTGTCCGATTCAACTTTTGCTAGTTGCTAGTTAAATGACAGGAAAAATGGTCGAACAGCCACAGAACAGTCACATCTTAAAGGAAAGATCCACATCAAAATAAGTTAAGCTCTGTCCAAGGCATTTTGACGTGAAAATGATAACTGCGTCGGGCTGAAACTAGCAAAACACAATCGCCTGGTGCTGTATTGTGTCACATTCTAGGGCTTCTGTTTTTAAATAAATCATACAAATATAAGTAACAAAACATAATAAATTACAAATGGTCATATATACCAGTTACTCTACTTTGCCACAAAATTGCAAACCACACTGAAGTTTTTATTAAGTTATATTTTGAGTCAAGAGATCAATCTATGACTATACAAATGTATATGTCAAAGAAGTTCATCAAACTTGAATTTGGTATGCAGCCAATGAAGAAACTTGCTCTCGCATTTCCACTCACCCACGTACACATGAATATTAATTGAATAGAACAGAAAGTCAAAAGTGACTAAAGGGCTCAATGGCTACGACAATATCCTAATTGCTAAGTATTTTCCCCTGATATTTTAATTCCGATTTTTAATTTTGATTAAAAAGAACTTGCTCATAAGACCTATATTGAATTTAAATGCCTGTGACTCGTTGCAATGCTCAACTGCCGCAAAATAGAAATAATACTAAAAATAATAAAATTGGTTCATCAGAAGTTAAATTTAAACGGAAAGGAATCAGCTTTCTTCATGATTAATCAATCCAGCTTTGTGTGACTACACCTTTAATTGGAATAGCTGACCTCGTTAAACTCTGGGTTTAGAGTCTTCTTCTTCACTGAGGTTTTGTATTTTGACTTTTTTCCCATGTCAGGCTGCAAAATACTGATAAAGAGAAATAACCAGAAATAAATCATTGCTCTGCAGTGAGAATTGTATAACTTCCAAAACATCAAAGCAAATCATTAGCCTGGTTTGTCTAACGCTCTAGAAACATCCACGACACAATCTAAACAGAAGAAAAAACACAGGCAAGGGTGTAAGAGCTCATTTTAGAGCATGATGACACATTTTAGAGAGAGAGAGAGAGAGACCTTGTAGAGTGAGGTAGTGATGGTGGGGTGTTGTTTTTGATTATTCATTCAATCCATTACAGACTGGGAGATGATAATCTCTAATTGAGGATGGATGGAATGAATGGATTGAGAGAGTGTCGGAGGACAGATGACGCATCCATAACGTCTGTGGCTCATGGAGTCATCAGTGGATTATCAATCAGAACGTATCATTTATCATTCATGGAGATATCAAGCTACACAACATGCTACAGAGAAAAGAGATAGAGAGACATGTGAGAGGTGAAAAAAACGCATGGGGATATGATGCAAGAGACATATTGCAATGACGAGTTGTGAAACATGCCTCCGAACCAAAGCAGTTACATAGTACAGTTGAATATATCTAAACGACACATGAAGTTTGAGCAACAAGAATCACAGAGAAAATTTTGGCCTGTATTTGTACATGATATCTGCACTGTTAGAGGCAGATTAAGTAAATTAAATAAATTCATTAAATTAGCTCTATAAAATGACGAAAGTACATTCGTAATGCAGGCTGTTGTGCTTTCTCAGAGATCCACTCGGTCAACTTTTAGTCAAGTTACTGTGGTAAATGCTGCACAAAGGTATTGCTCTTTACAACATCGGAGACATAACGGTAATTAATATGATTAGCATTTTGCTTGACTATATTATCAAACAGCTAATAATGTGTTAATGTTACAAACCATGTTCCTATTTGCCATCTCTTCATCATAACATCGTAATATACATCATATATAATTCACTGCCCTATGTATATTGCTAAATGTACCTGATTTTTCATATAAACAGAAAAATCTACCAGGAAAACCTGGCTTTTCTTGAGATTCCCATGTTTCAGAGCCGGTTAATGAGTTAAAAGCCCGCCCACACATTGACGTGATTGGTTACAAGGTTTGTGACGTAAGGAACCGAGTTTTTGAGAATATGATCAGCAGCAATGGTGTTGACTTATGAATTTGCACATGGTTCGCCTTAAATTAAAAACACCAAATAGACATATAAACAACATTAAAAACTTGATTTTCACCACAGGGGGTCTTTAAATAATGCAACATTAACGGTGTTAGACAAACACCATTGAATTTTGTGAATAACATATATCAGAAAATATCTAATCATATATTATAATATTATATTATATTCACATTTGCTGAATTCAGAACCACATCCCCACAAACTATTCTTTCTATTTCTGCCATACTCTGCTATGTTGTAGAGTAATATGCTAGTATGTTTTTTTCAGCGATTGAGTCATTTATTTATAAACTGAATCATTCATTCATTACACAGAAAACACTAATTCATTCAGAAACAAATTTAGTTAAAATTGTAAAATATTTTCACCGAACACGTCCATACGGAATCTTATTACAAATTAGGAATATGCAGCCAAAGATAAATTATAAGAAACAGAAATAATGTGTTTTGTGGATTGAAAGTGTTGTGCATGTGCAGTTACGACAAAATGAACGAATTCTTCTGAGACAACTCGTTATTCTGAACTCATATAAAAGATTAATCGAAATGAACAAATCATTCTTGAACGACTCTCACTACACAACTGTGGATTGCTCAGAGATGTGCATTGGTTCTGTAACTATTGCGTCTTAAATTAATTTCGTAATATCAACCTAAAAGAAATCAAATTAAAAGCAATATCACAGTTGCAATCACGTTGGATGTTTTCATTATAATTACAAACGAATGATCATTTAACACTGGGTTTGTTTGGTGCCAGAAATGATTTACCACTGGATGTTAACCAATAGACTAATGACTCACTATAGAAACGATTAATAGATGCTTGAACGGTAATTCAATATAAAATTAGCCAATCTTTAGATATTAATTGACTGATTTGCTGGTACATGACTGGATATCAATCAGAAATGAATCAGTAACTTTCACCTAATGACTTTTAGTCAGAATATTAATGATGTTTTATTTCTGTGTAACAAGATTTACGTCACTGACAGGATGATTTTGCATCTCTAATGGCTTTTTAATGTGATCCTATTAATTTTTTATTGACATGTCCCATAATAAGTGTTGGATATTAATTGGTCTATACAGACTCAGATTTAAATTCACTAAATTTTTGGATGTGTTCCCGAACCCTGGGCCTAATGAATATACTACATTATAGAGGACCTAATTGGGGACCAAATCTCACAGGGCCCGCGACATATGTTCCTAAGGAAAGTTGTGATTAAGGTATCATTGATTTATCATAGTGTGAAAGAGTTAGAGAGTGGATAAACTTGATTTAAAAGACAAAATTAACTGATGGTGATGGTAGACATGCTAATGTTAGATGTTATTACATTAAACATGAGCCACTGTCCTTGTAAAGAAGAGCTGCAGGAAATTTCATTTAGATACTTTGGAGCTCACTTCAGATCTAACCCTAAGGAGACAATTATCATCTGATAATTAAAAGAATAACTGTCATCTTAGAAGAGCTTGTCCACAATGACCAATGTCAATCCTGGATGAAAGAAGGAATTTAGCATGGACAGAATGTTTACGCCTAAAACGACAGTCTTGAGTATTTGAAGTCACTGTGTAGTGGCAGGGCAAATTCAGAGCAATAAGAATGACATTTTCAATATGTGAACCCCCTGTCTGTTCAGTCCTAGTCTTGCATTATTTCTTGAAGCAAGTTCAGTTCATAACAGGCATTGTGAAACATGAAAAACAAAACAAAAACATTTGACTTCATATTTTCATATTAAAGCTGAAGTGTGTCATTTGTAATTAGTGCAAGCAGCATTAAATTAGTGCATGTAATTATCATTCCTGGAGCAGTAGCAAAGCCAAGGCCATGGGTTTGACTCCATGGGCCAATGCATGCACTAATTACATTAACATATACGTATTTGGCAGACGCTTTTATCCAAAGTGACTTACTAGGGTTGGGTATCGAGAATCGAGTATCGATTGGAACCGAGACTAACTTTTCGTTTTTCCCGGAATCGTTCAAAAGTTAAAATTTCGATTCCTAGTTTTGATATTCATTCCTCTTAAAAGAATCGGAATCGAGAATCGTTAGGAACCGGAATCGAAACAAGGAATTGGAATCGTTCAAATTCAAACGATACCCAACCCTATGACTTACATTGCATTTCAAGGTACTCCATCTACATTGTTATCAGTTCTTGCTTTCCCTGGGAATCGAACCCATGACCTTGGCGTTGCAAGCGCCAACACTCTACTGTTTGTGCAACAGGAAAGCTTGTAAAATGTACATACCTTAAAATGTAATGCAACTTGTTTTGCTTCTGCCAAATGCATAAATATAAAAGGTCATTTGTGTCCACCGAATGGAATTGTGTACAAGTTTGCCAACTCTCCTAATATATTTAAAAAGAAAATCTTATAATAATTTCCAAATACACATTATTAATAAAATTCTTGCTGAAAATGTTCTGAATGACCTACCCAGATTTTGAAGTGTATATCCAAAGGAAACTTTACTCTCCGATAAGGCAATGGGGGAGTCATCGTATTTAGAAATGGCGAGGAACAATGATGCAGATGATGGTCACATTACAATTAATGGTCACATCGCATGACAATGCCAAAAGGAAGTATGTACTTCAGGATGTAGTATGTCCATATTGAATTTATACTACAAACAAATTACATGTAACAATTTAATTTAATAGTCAACAATAATATTGATCTGCCTGCATTGACACCATTAAATGAGAACTGAACTGAGCTGGATGATGACTTTAAAGTTTTTTCCAGAGAAGCTATATATATATATATAAATGAACTAAATTAATAATGGATTAAACAAATGCATAATAATTACCAAAAACAAAAAACAAAAAAATTCAAAAAGTTAGGGAGGGTAACTTTTTTTAAATGTTGTATATTTTAAAAATTAATATTTTTCCAAAAATAAAAATTGTAACAAGTCTTTACTGAATTGTTTTTACAATTTAATTTATCCTTGCGCAATAAAAAGTAAAAAAATTGTACTGGCCGCAAAACTTTGAATGGTAGTGCAATTCTCATTAATGATTGTTTAATAAATGAAGTACATATTCCAACCATGATGGATGCATTAATCAAACTGACAGTCCTGCCCCTAACTCGTGCCATTGCTTTAGCCGATGTTGCTGTTGGGATGCTTAGATTGATGAAACAAACAGAAATGTTCTGAAAGCAGAACAATGTTGACATTTTTCCCAGAAATCAACATGCTATATTTGACTCTGCATATTAAACTGAGACAGGAAGGTATTTTAACATTCAGAAAATGACACACTTCAGCTTAAATGTGCACCTGCATCCATGTATCTGTGAATTAGTCACTAATTACATTTTGACTTAATCGCTTCTGCAATTACATTTCTGCACATTCAAGTCTGTGCAAGACAGCAAAGCGTCTGAATAAACATTCAAATGTGAGCTTAAATGTCTCACCGTCACAAGTTCAAATGAAAGAGGAACTATTGAAATTGTGTCCTGTGTAATGACATTAATTAGAGCATGTGCAATAATATCTGCATTCCCTTGTCTGTTCTAATTATGTGGTGATGCCGAGGGCCAGATGAAAATAGAGCTGAACTCTACAGGGCCTCATTCATAATCATTGCATACACACACATACACGCGCGCACACAATCTGAAAAGTGGGGGCATATCGAAATCTCATCAGCCTCTCTAACTACACATTAGAAACATCATCAGTTTTAAATGCCTAGTTGCTACGGATACACTCATGTGATAAAGTACTTGAAAGAATAAAACTAAACTTTCCAAAAACAGCATTGTACAAAAAACAATATGCAAAAAAGCAAAAAGAAGCTCTTCTTCTCTGCTGTTGTTCATGTCTTTGCTCCTCAGGAAGTTTACTTTCTGTCAGCAGCTTAGCGCAACTGTGCCAGGCGTACTTGAGTCATGAATATTCATTATTTTATGTGATGTTCAACCCTAACTGATTTGCCGAAAGGCAGACGTTCATGAATGCTAGCCTCAGCTGGATTACCGTTTACCGTTGGTGTGTTTGTTCACTATCAAAGCAGACAGAGGTTTCTGCAACATTAGATGTGAATTTACCCTATTTACCTTTTTAATAAACATCCCTGTTCTATTTACTGGTGCATGTTATTCAATGTAAAAAAAAGTGTAATCTTTAAACAAGTCTCTGCTTCTGAAACATCTTTCCATATTGGCTTATGTCAGCAAACTAATAATTTCTAATAACCTGTCATGAAGGGATCATGATTTAATCAAGTGGCATAGAATATTCTGCTTCATAAGAAAATGCATTACATAATTGATGTAAAATGGTTTGAAAATATGTTTCATCAACTTTTAAGTCACCATTTTACTTTTTTTTCCATCTTTGCAGCCTAAGAAAATAAACCTCTTTTGAAGTATAATTATTATCAGGTAATCTCCCAAAAAGACTATTTGTGCAAAAGTGTTTTCCTCAGCACACACATAATCTGCTGAAGGGATAGTACTCCCAAAATTTCATTTTTTTTTTAAAGTCATTAATTACCCTCATGTCGTTCCAAACCTGTAAAATTTCCGTTCATCTTTCTGCTTTAAAATTCATTTTATTGAACAGAAAGGCTACGTCTACCAATTAGTTGCTTGGTTAATTACATTTGAAATGTTTCAAATACAATTCAGATATAGAAATTTATTTCCTGAATTTCTCTGAAAATGTCTGTAGCCTTGCCTTAGCTACACGGTCTTCCTTCTAGCAACCTGGATATGGTGATTACATTCACCATGAGAGAGAGAGAGAGAGAGAGAGAGGGGTTTGAGTAAGCTTCCCTGCCTGAGCTTTTTCTGTTAAAACCACTTTTCTCAGACACTGCTGTCTGAGAAAAACATCTCAACAGAGAAAACAAAACATGTGAACGTCAATAGCAGTCACCCTCCAAATCTAGAGATTTAGTTTCTCTTTCCTCCTACGGACTGACTACAGTATTGATTGGCCCCCAGTCCCCTCTACACTTAATCCCTACTTGTGTCCAGTTCCATGTTCCCTCTATTACAGTATAAGCCAGTTCAGGACTCAACAATAATGATGGGCTGCTGACCTGGGGCCAGTCTGAGAGAGTTAGCTGACTGATGCAGTTGAAGATGAGATGACACCGAGAGAATGACTTAACTGAGAAGCATCTGTTTGAAATGTGTTAAAGTCCCCCTGGTGAAAAATCAACATTTTAATGTTGTGTAAATGTCTATGCGGTGTTTTTAGACAAGCCATGTACAAATCCATCCGTCAACACCATTGCGGAGTATTTTCTTCTTAAAACGGCAGTGAACCAATTAAAGACAGTCTCAAAAACGCAGTTTGAAAATGCTGATGTTTCTGACGTCACAAACTGCCTTGTAACCAATCACGTTAATCAGTGGATCTCTGAGCTGGTGAGACTTAGTGGAGGCGGGGTTAATTAGAATATCCATAGAATCATTTAAATATGAAATTTTGATGATCAAAGATGAGTTTTAAGGGATCAAATTATTGACTACATGAGGACTTTAAAAATTACAAACCAATTAGTAATAGAAATAATATTTTTTGTAACTGTAATTGTTTTTCACAAGGACAATGTTGGATAAAATTATGAAAAAAATCATAATTTATAGCTGTCACAATCATTTCCAGATAATTATTATTTATATTTTTATATATAAAAAATATTTTTATATTTGTTTTTCAAAAGGAAAATGGTTAGTAAAAATATAAATCATGTAAAAAACAAATCTTTATCGTTAAGCTTACTGACCCGTTTCATAATTATACGAATACATTTTTTACATTATAATATTAATTTTAATTTTATACATTATAAAAATTAGCTAATTAGCGATACTGAAAACACTTGCTATTCACATTATTGATGTATTCCAATTATGCCATGTTACGTTAGTTTTCCAGAATCCATTTAATAATTGCAATTAAAGCCTTTACTGCTATTAAAAAGACTAGAGTCACTGATGCAGAAAATCCAGGCTAATAAAACCACAGTGCTGCATCAATAAATTCAAGCTAAATCCGGCCATAACTGGAATCAACGTCAGCGGACAAAAAGGCAAATAACACCTGGTCCAGCGGTCACAGTGCACAAACAACCCAGCATCCAAACAAGCCTCTGCCATACTGTCATACATGTCAGGAGAGAAAGAGTCAAAATCTCCACCTTATCCTAAACTATATTGACAAGTCTAGTCCTAAACAAGCGCTAAAGCACCTGTCACACACAAATGCACACGCACACTCCCAGCAGTCTATCCTGCAGTCCACTCTTCAACAATAGATTTCCAATGCTCTAGTGAGCCCATCAGTGCCTGTAACTGGCATGATAAACAAGGAAATCCTATCTCCTCAGAGCAGATAGCGGAAAAAACCTCCTCTCCATCACACTACGCATCAAAATACATCCATGATAAGAATGAACAGGACCCCATCGACAGGAAAAGAGTGGTCCAAGATTTATGCATGCTTTATCAGACTTGAGAGAAGAGAGAGAGAGAGAGAGCGAGGAATGGAATGAGTCGAGAAAAAGAGGTATGGCAAATGATAAAAGAGCATTGCGGTGGGAACTCGAGGGTGAGAAGCTGAAGCTGAGAGAGGACGATTAAAAACAGGAGAAGCAAAGATCCAGTTTTTTTTTTTTTTTGGGACTTTCCGCTTGCCTCTTGACTCCGTTTCATTCTCTATGCCCCATTAATTCTCTCAGCCTCCAAATAGAATCTTATTGTGTGGGTGGACTTTGAATTATTCTTCGCAAGAACCCACAGGGGGATAAATTATGATCAACCGGAGGTACAGAGAGAAATAAATCACCCTGAAATGAAATCCATGATGCTAACTAGGAGGAGGGCGATGGCAATGAATTGAGTCATAACGCAGTTACACATGCTTGCGTTCGTCTGATGCTGTGCTATGCGATGATTCAAGGAAGGATGAAACGAAATTGTGCTTGTTAAAACTTACTTTTTGCATTGTAATAAATGTGCAAATTAAATAAAGGCTGTAAAAAGGCTGTGTGTGACTCACTACAAGAGCCTTGGGGATTGCGCTAATTTGCTTTAACTCTATTTGAACAACATTGGTGCTTTGAGGTACTGATAACAACATTAGCTTCACTCGTGTGGGGTTGTAGGCTCAGATCGTCACACAAAGACCACGGGTCTCATCTCAAACCTCTGAAAAAAACAACAAAACAAAACAACACATAATGACCACAAACAGACCGTTTGATGATCTGATGCATATTGCGCCCCAAAGCTGGTAAGCCCTATTTTTATCTGGTTTAATCTGATTGGCTGTTTTTTTATGCAACTTTCACGATGCCAAAATAGGCTTTCGGACTAAAAGCTTCCACTTTATTTTTGGCCTAGAGGGAAGTGTAACCCAATCCGCCTCTTTGATCAATTCCTGTCACTTTGCCACTGTCCATTCTAAAAAAACGTGGCAAAAAATAAATAAAACAAAGACTCACATTTTGACAAAGGGGTCTGAGTAGCCATTCGAATCCATGGCGGCCAGGTGGGCACAGCGAATAATTCCCACAACCAGAGAATTTTTCTCTGTGCAGTACAGCAGAGAGACCAGGATACGGCCACGCTAGAGAAACAGAGAAAGAGATAGACAGTCTGCAGTTGGCTTGTTTCCACTGATCAATAATCAGACCATCAATAATAAATTAAACAATATATGTCTGTTTTAATGGATGTAAACTAATGGTGACAGAAAATGTCTTTTTTTATTCAATATTGTAAAAGTTAAGGCAAGATATTTTTGAGTAACATTAAAGTATATACTAAAACCCCTTCAGTAAGAGATGAAAACAATAACATTCAAAAGTGTGGGGTCAGTCAGATTTCTTTATTTAGATTTATTTTTTATTTTATCTCAAAAGTGACAGTAAGATACAGTATTTATAATGTCTAACTCTTGAAATGTTATTTCTACTTGAAATAAATGCTGATAATTCTATTTATCAAACACTCTTAGAAGATAAGGTTCTATATAGAACCTTAAAAGGTTCTATCAGCGCTACGTATTTTGAACCCCTAAAAGGTTCTATACACTCTTAAAAAAGGGTTCCTCTGGGTTCTATATAGAACCCTGGGGTTCCATACTTGGCCAATAGAACCTTTTACCAAAGTGGTTCTATATAGAACCATTTTGGAGTTCCATATATGAAGCATGGGATGGAACCATTTCTGGTTCTAAATAGAACCATTTCTTCTAAGGGTGAAGAATCCTGTAAAAAAAATGTAATCAGTTTCCAGAAAAACATTAGGCAGCAGAACTATTTTCAACATTGGTAATAAAAATAAATGTTTTTTCAGCATCAAAACATTATAGTAAAATGATTTCTGAAGGATCATGTGATCACATGATTTTGAAAATTCAGCTTTACATCACAGGGATACGATTCTTGTTGCATATATTAAATTGAGAACCGTTTATTATTATTATTATTATTATTGTAATATTCAAATAATTGCATCGAATGCAGGTGAGCATAAGATGTATACTTTTAAAAACATTGAAAAAAAAACTGACTGACTCCAAACTTTTGAACAGTAGTGCAATATATACTTAAACTGTCAGCAATTGATGGACAAATTATCTTTTGGCTTTTTATATCCTCTCATACTAAATTTAATAATGTATGTGAACCCTGTACACAATATTAGTACAGGCAAAAATGATAAGAATTTTATCTTAAAATATACATATAATTAAAGAAATTCTCATTAGCGATTTACATGAAAAAATGGTGAAATTTATTTTAAAAGTAATTGCCTCACAATCAGCTATTTGCCAATGAATATAATAACTTCATGGAGCAGGACAGTTTATCAGTACAAAGAGACAAACAAGAGTTCAGGATAGTGCTTTGGTTAATTAGTAAATTTGAGATAATAAAAAAAACAGGCCCTCATCTCTTTCTTCTCATTATACCCTGATTGTGAGTGTTCGATATTCTGGTGCAGTTTCAGTGTAAATAGGGAGAGTGAGCAGAGGTATCAAGTATGGGATGGAAATTATTGAATCTTTACCTCCTCCTCTGCAACAAGAGAACCAGGATCCACTGCCTGACTGTTAGCCTCCCGGGCCTGTAAGACCAAAGAAATGTTATTAATAATAGACTAAATACCCAAACACTAAATTATGCATTGTACAAATTCCAATGGACGTAACCTCACAACGGCCACAATGACGTGTCTAACACACACACACAGACACACACACACCTGTGCAATTCTCTCGAGACCCATGTAGTATTTCTTGCTCTCTCCCTCCTTCAGTTTCTTGAGTGCCACCCTGACTTCACCTATGAACTCATTCCGTCCCAAACGATCCATATCACACACACACAGCCTGGAAAGAGAGAGAGAGAGATGGCACTCACAACTCTTCAGCTCAACCTTCAAGGCAGAATGTGTTAAGCATGTTGCACCCACAGCTAGAGAAAAAGTGAATATCTGCTAATATGAGCTGAGAAGAAGGTGGTGTTGACTAGGGGTTGACCAAACCATTTCATTGGTAGTGAAAAAAGATCAGAGATCAGGAAAAAGTAACACTTGTGTCAGTGACAAAATGACTTCTGAATATGAATTGAGCAAATCTGCCAGACTAGACTGCTGCATAAAATTAGTCACACCATTAATTTTAAAGCAGTTCCTGCATCGCTATTCAATGGCAGAGCAATTGATTTTACAGCAACAAGACTAAATAAATCCGAGTTGTGAGTTTGGTATCTAAATTAATCATAATAATTTAAAATCTGATCACTGGAAAAAAATAAATAAATCTCGTTCTCGTCTTGTCTTGTCTTGCTTGATGCATGTGTAAAAACATGACTCTGAGTCTGACTCTGAGTCTATTTGATTCAGTTCAATATGAGCCATTTCTTTTAATGAATGAGTCCACTTTAATGAGTCAAAATACTCCACAACTGCAGAGATTTATTTTGAATCTTTCAATCGAATCACTGAATCCACCAGATTGCTTACTGAGTTAACATCTGACTCACTGAACCGCATCACAAATTTCATTGACAAATTTGACTTGAAATTAACACAGTTGTGTGACTTTAATCCTCCATAGATGACATCGTGAAATATGTGACATAAAAAAATAGTTAATGTATATAAGATTAGATAAAATATCTATATTATTTTTAAAAGTAAATCTGCCCCCCCACCTTAGTTATTGGAATCGTCAAAATGTATTATCTTTCAACCTCTAGTATTGACACTGAGAAAGAGTGAATTAAGGAAAAGAAACAACAATAACCAGAAAAGGAAAATAGGAATCTATAGTAAACAATGTAAGAAAAGACATTGTCAAGTCAAGTCACCTTCATTTATAAAGCGCTTTTAACAATATGGACTGTCGCAGCTTTACAGTGATAATGGGAAATTAAAGTAATGGAGATTGTTAGGGCTTTACAGCAGCTCTAGAATAAAGTTATTGTCCAGCTAAAGTTATTTAGATCGATTCACTTCTGTTGCACGGATCAGTAAGCAGATGACACTGACATCATGATCTTGTTGGATTCTTGCTTTCTGGATTAGTCATTCCTTCCAGCAAGGTGTGTACACATGCTAATACAAACGCATGCACACACTCGTGTGGAGGTGGATAACAGGTGCTCTACACTTCCTGTTTATCATTCTTCCTGAAGCTGCTATGAATAAGTCACAGGGTTGAGCTTTTCCTTATTAATGTCAGTCACTGTGATTATTTCAAGAGCTTGCATGCATACGGAAGTCACCTACATGCAGGACATCCAGAAGACGCGTACTATTCAATGTTTATTCAGTATTGAACTGTTAGTCAGATGAGTCATGCGCAGCCCCACGCAAAATCTGTGCCGGCAGGATTTCGCAGAAAGCTCCAGAGGTTTCTGCAGAATTTGACTGCTCGTCATTCAGAGTTTCTCACATGTTTAAATATTTCATATGCTAATTTGATTAATGACATCGGCTACCAATTAAAACCCAGTACACTCATTTTTTCTGTTAAAAAGGGACCTATTATGCTTTTTAAAAACTTTCTTTGAAGAATGAAGAATGTTTGCAATGTTACAAAGCACAAAAACACTCCAAAGGGAGTTATTCTCTATATCAATAAGCACTGTTTCTGAACTCCCTGAAACACTTTGATTGCAGTCTTAAGTTTTCTTCCGTCACAATATAGCACATTTAAATAATTCCCTCCCAAGGCAAATGCAAAATTAAGGGGCCAAGGCCTGGTTGAATTGTGTAAGTACTGTGCTGTCGCCATTTTTTACCGCTTTGGATCTAGCACGGTAATGGTAAGGGCCCCAACATTCCAAAACATGCTGGAAGTATATGGATATTATATAATATATGGAAATATGTGGTTTACTCTCAATAACCAAATAAGGTAACACTTTATTTGAAGGGGTGTGCTGCATAAGACTGACATGACACTGTCATAAACATGACATAACACCTGTCATGAACATGAAGGAGTGTTTATGAATGTTTATGACTTTTGTCATACACATTTTCTCAGATATAACGTCAGACAGGCAGACAGACAGATTCAATAGTGAACAGATTCAAAGATTCATTTCACTACAATGAATCAAATTCCTCCACCAACAGCAAAATCTCATTGCTCTAAAATCCCTGAACAAAATATAATTAAACACGAAATTGCTCTGATTAGCTGCGATTGTTGAGTCATGCTTTTTCACCTGAAAAATGACGCTGGAAATGTGTCACATCTGGTTAAGGTGTTTTTAAAATGTGGCAAAACAAATTTGTCAGCTATGCTCCTAAAAGACCACTGCTCAACACTCATTGTCTACTAATAAACAAAAAAAGACCTACTGTATGCTTCCATGACATTCGTTATGATAATGACTCCGCTAATAGCATAGGATGCTTTTATATAATGGCACAATAGCACTATTGATAACGCAGCCATTCTTAAAAAAAAAAAAAAAAAAGAAGCCCATCAGCAGTCATTGTTCTCATTGAGAAATGACATTCAAATGACAAAAGCTGAAGAATATGGGAGGAAATACAGTAAATATGGAAATACTTGCTCTGGAAATTTATATGTAAAATATTCATCCCTGCCGCCTCTCCCTGCACTGAACGACTGCAGTCGGGTTTGAGATTAGCCAGCTGTCATGGCCCAGACACAGCCACTGTGACAAGGTGCTGACGCTGCCCGTGGTGACATACTCCATCTATGCCTTGGGCTCCAACAACTTGCTCTTCAGAATGATGGTCACACAGCGTAACAGAGCGTAAAGAATCGTCAAATCAAACTCAAAAGTGGCAAGAATCCATGTTTGCCACGAAAAACAATTCGGCTTGTGTCAGTTTTGGCAGAATGTATGCATCTAATTGTATTTTTAATTTACAAGAAGCTTCTGTGTTAAACAGTTTCACTGCGGAGGCTAAAATCTCTGGATTGAAGGTGTTTCTCCAGTGCTGAGTAAATCGGGGTCGAGTTAATAACCATTTCAGTATGAAACTAGAATTATTCACGGCCTCAACCAAAAAGTGGAACATGTAAGGCAAACAGCTTCACTCCCTCTTTCTCTCTCTCTCTCTCATCCTACAAGAGCTCCTGCTAGGTTTGTTTCCCAGCTGTACATCAGAAGGGTTTCTATTACATTTGTAGAGAAATTACTCACTGTCACTCACTGTCTTCTGAGTTTTATTGCTCAAATAGGCTCTATGCACAACTTACTTCCGTATTCTGTTTGAACAGGTCTCATCGCTTCCGGTCCAGGTCTTTTGTATGTGCTTCATGAAATTTTTTGCAGTTTTACTCAAGATAACTTAAAATGTCCCTCACATATGCAGATTGATATTTAAACGTTTTATATTTTTTCTTCTTCACAGTAACGTTTGGATATTTAAATGGAATAAAACACCAATAACAAAGTTAACTAGTTAGGTTAGCTGATTACCATAAAAATCCATAGATATCGTAGTCAGTTCTTACGGCCGTTGAACGCTTTCTATGACAAGCGGATGCGATGAGACCCGTTTTCCGGTTTGGTCACGTGACGCTCCGCATAAAGCCGATTGTAGCATTCCTCTACACAGAAGGTTAGACCCAAGTGTGGGTGATACCTTAAGGCTAATGTGTGTTATTGCACCACAGAGACGTCCACTACCTGCTGTCAAAGACGCGCATATACACATATGCCCACACACAATGCGCTCTGAGTTGACTTGACCTGAACATCATGAAGTAATGAAATTCACACATGCACAGCACACAAATGGGGCTCAACAATGTTCTCACTGTCATTAATAAGGTGGACGGGGACACTCGTGGGATTTTACAGAAAGCCATACTGTACATTCAAAGGGTGAATTCAGCCGTGCTAGTAAAGCCAAAAATAGTTGGATGCAGGTGAGAATCATGGGAAACGGAGGTGGTACTGTACCTGAGGGTTTTAGTGGTCATGTCAGCAGCCGTAATGCCATGATAGATGAGCGTCTCGTTCCACACTGGATTCAGCGTGTTCTTTAAAGTCTTAGTGCGCAGTTTGTTTGCCTGAAAAAGAGAGGGAGAGTGTATTGAGAATGACAATAAATTACATTTCTGCTGGGTTTACAACAGCTGTGCTTGTGCACGCACATAAACTTGTTCTTAACATCAGTATAATGTTGATGAACCCAGATTAATGTAAATGAGGGAGCGTGCGTGCACACAGAGTTAGTAATTAGCATAAGACATACCCAAACCATTTCCATGTAAGGGCTATTGCATGACCTCTCCTATGCAGACATTCATCACTTTCCAAAAACCTTATGCTCTCTAAAGCGTTGCATTGCATCACAATAAGTGTAAGTGCAAAACATTTGGTAACTAAACAGAATTTCATTAAGTTTAGCGACAACATGTTACAACTGTTAGCCTAATGTTTTCATCAGTGATTGGGACAAATTTCACAATTTCCATTCATGCGCTTGCAATACGATTGCGATCTTGATTCATTTGGATAAATATCAGGTACAGCTACATGTTAATTTTTCTCAAGGAAAAAAAATCTCTTACAGGGAGTCCTGTCAGCTGGTTGCATTGTCAAATATTAAAATCAACAACAACAAAATGAATAATAGTTATCTGAGATGTGCAAATCTGCTTTGTGCGCACAAATACTGCGTTTCACAATGCCGCCTAAACGTCTTTGGTGATCGTCGCACAGGTGGGGGTCAGCAGCTTATATATAGTGACCTTGAACGGTGTGGGGGAAACGTGATTAGTACAGACTGGTCTAATCTAGAGGTTGCAGATCTTCACTGGTTTAATTAAAACCCATACCATGTCAATATGCTTGACTTCATGTGGTGCTGCGCAGACCGAACGGCGTATGATATCAAAATCCAGGGAGAGTCAAGTCAAGTCAAGTCACATTTATTTATATAGCGCTTTTCACAATACAGATTGTATCAAAGCAGCTTCACACTGATAACATGACTGAGTGACTGATTCTTGATGTCACATGCCAAATGGTCTGAGCAGCACACTGGCTTTTTAAATTTGGCGTGAGATTTCCAGCGTGTGAGCGCGAGACAGAGCCTGTATGCTTCACGGCAAATGCGTGAGAGTTGGCAACCCTAAAGATCTATTTTGTAAATATCTATGAGCACATCCAGCAATATTTTCTGCCTTTTCATTAAAGATGCATCTCAGACTGAGCTATAATGGATCATTTTTGTATTGCTCAAGGTCTTAACCACTACATCACATTGCCCCAGTACATCTTAAATGAAGAAACTGAGCACTAAAACTCACCACTAAACCAGAAGCACAATCCAGCCCAAAATAAACATTATTTCACATTTCATCACCTAAGAGCATTTTGGGGAAACAATTAACACCCCAAGCTCCATCTATGCTGAAATTACCACGGCTGTAAATAGTTTCTCAATTTAAAGAATCTGTTAGATTCTGCTGCAGCTCAGTCGAGCTAGTTTTGACATTATTTTACCTGCAAATAAAAAATATTAAAAAATAATTTTATGTAAGTTGGATTTCAAATCTACTTGGGTCAAAAATCTGAGAGGACATGCCCCCTGTTTGAATGGGCATGATGCATCTGGGTAAAGATGAAGAGAGAGAGTCAGTCAGGGAGGCCAGAAGAGGAGACATCATTTATTTCTTCTCCCTCAGGTGAAAGGCAGACATCTGCTCACCTACTTTGCATTTGAGAGAAAGGACAGGAGGCTTTCCCCAGCTTACCTCCCCTCTGTCTTACATATACACAAAATCATCACCACTTCTGTGTCTTACCCTAAAATCAGCTGCCCCATACTCACAAACATACACTTGTTTTTGTAGCTACAGTATCTAAATGAGGACATTCTATAATGTCATCAATCATCTACAGTGTATTTACTAACTTGACTAACCCTGGCTAAAACCTTACATTTTTCTTGACAGACAGGTATAGATAGACAGTACGCTAGACAGAACCATCAAATGATAAAATGTAACTTCCAAAAAACATCCTTTTAAAAAGTTTGTTTAAAACTACACTGTGTAACTCTTTTAGTTTATTCTTAGCTAAAAACACTTAGTTCTTTCAAAAATATATGTGCTCATTAATGTATATTTACTTCGTTCAAGTAATAAAGTATTCTCGTGAGTGTATAATATGGCATTGAAAATACATACGGGTAAGGGGTTCTAATGTCGGTCCATAGACATATACACTAGACCTCACCTTGGGGTTCTGAGCATGCGTCAAAACCGCCGCCATCTTGGAACGGGTCTTGTCAGAGGAAGTAGCTAGGTAACGCTGCTATCTCTGCCTTTACTTCGAATTCATTGATGGTGGCGGACTTTTGTGCAGCGTATGATGTTCACGGATGAAATCTGAACTAGGAAGAATGTTTTAAAAAAAATAATAATAATTTTTTTTCTTTCTGGAATCAATGATAAATACATGTCTGACCGTTGGAACAAACCAAAAAAAAACAAGAAAAATCGCATTCATGATGATTTATGGTGATTTTATTTCCATTAGACCTGTGTCTACTACATTGACGCTGATGCATTAAAGTGGAGGGGCTCCCCTGTTTCAAGATGGCGGCTCTATTGACCCATTCGTTCCAATGAACTGCTGTAGCCAAGGTGAGGTCTAGTGTATATGTCTATGATGTCGGTCGCGATGTTGCCCCTCCATCTTGAAAGAACATTAGCCAAAGAGGGACATACCCGTTAATTCAAGCTTCGCCTTTCGCGTTTACGTTTGAGTTAACACTCATGGACGAGGTCGAACTGGAAGCCATGTTAATCTTGGACTACACTGGCCACCGTAGGAGTTAAAACGAAATCGAAATTGAGAGGAACAGAAACTAATATTCACTGGATGGTCATTTACCTTTTCATCACTAGATGGGGGTAAAAAATCAAAATGTTATGTCTAAATGTTGCCAGTTCAATGAAGTCAAAAATTCTGTCATCATTCATGTACACCCAATGTTGCTCCTAATATGCATGACTTTTTTTCTCTGTAAAATAAAATGTCAAAACAGCTCTTTTCCTTACAATGAAAATGCATGATGATCCCTGACTCTCAAGGTCAGTTGAAATTGTGCATAGTATTTTAAAAAACAACAACAACTACTACTACATATTAGGTCAAGTTTTGTACCCTAGTCCCCTTTCACACTACACAAAAACTGTTTTCCCCCTTTAGTCATGTCATATCCATCCTAGAAATGGTCCCAAAAATGATGCCACTGCTTTTGGGGACATTTGCTCCACAATGTAGGCCAAATCTGACCCACCCCCACATACACACACAGTTCATCACTTCCTCCGTTGCATCTCTAAAAATCAGCTCTCACCCCATACTCATGCACTTCACATACCCTGACATGCATACTAAACTCCCCAAACCGGGCAATTACCCTCCAAAAGCTCGTTTAGCAAATTAGTGTTAAATCAAAGAAATGTTCTGGCTGTGAAGACCCAAACACAATCTCCCAAACCGCAGACTCTCTCGCGTGCACTCGCTCTCCTGACAAAGCGAGTCCACGTCATTCATTGCCTGAAGAACATGTTGCTTCTCTGCATATTTCATTTCTCTCTCTCTCTGCTCTACTCTTTGCACTGCTGCATTTGACGCTGGAACCAGCCAAGCTTGGCTATCCTCTCTCTCGCCCCCTGAGGATGCTCGGCAAATGAATAAACACTCTTTAATTCCAACAGACATCAGCAAAAAATACTTGTAACAATCCATTAAAACAGCACCAGCTGAGCAAACAGCTACTGGGACTTGAATGAGGAAGAGAATAATCATTCAAATCGCAATTGGTTTAATTAAAACGGATACTCTGGCAGTGGTACAGTGATGGTGTCTATCACTATGGTACTGAGCATTTCATATATTAATTTGCCATTCAAATCAATTAAAAAGTACTAAACATTACAGAACATGGTGTTGGGTTCGTACGGTTAAAAAAATATCATATAGGCCTATACATAAACTACTGTTCAAAAGTTTGGGGTCTTTTTTGAAAAATGTTTCTTATGCTCACCAAGACTGCATTTATTTGATCAAAAAACAGAAAAAAATAGTACAATTGTGAAATGTTATTACAATTAAAAATAACTGATTATATATATATATATATATAACTTATTCATTCAAACATGTCGAAAAGCTGATAAATATTTTTTTTTTGTCAAAACTGTGATTCTCTTTTTTTTCAGGTTTCCTTTTAATTAGAAAGAGCAATTTAACGTCCACATGAAATCGAAACTTTTTACTTAAAATATGTTCCCCTCCCTCTTGCAGTGACATTTCTTCTCTGATGACATTTTTACGGGTGATTTACACATTTTTTAATGTGATTTCTCCCCCATTTTCAATTCTTTTACTACACAGGAAGGTTAGATTTTTGCCAGTTTTTTTAATGAAAGATCAAAAGGATAAATGATGCAGATTTATTTTTTACAGCCATTTTTTATCATATTTATCAGGGGTGTGATTAAATCTGGGCACAATTGAAAAAGAATCTGGATCTCTAGTTTCCATTTCTCTCCAACTTGCTCACTCACATCTTATCCTTGCAAAAGCATATGGTTTCACCTGTCTCTCTCTGCTCCTGCCAAATCGGTGCTATCGCCTTTTATTCTAAATATTTCATCCTCATCTTCCACTTCTCTCATCCCCCTTTTCTCTCTCTCTTTACTCCCTCCATCTGGCCCAGAGCAGTGAGATTCCCAGAGCAGCAGCTTGGGAGAGAGTGTGTGACTCAGATATCTCATTCTCCATGCTGTGTGATGACACACACACGCACACACACACTTGACTAAGAAGGGGCCACTCTCCAGCCCCACAATCTCTCCCTCCCTGCTCCCTCTCGCTTTTTTTTCCTTCTGCTTCCTGCACTTTTTATGGGATGCTGATGGAGTGCCAGCATGAGAGGAAGTTGGTTAAAGGGATAGTTCATGCAAAACTGACACATCACCACGTCGTCCTATAGCTGTGAGACTTTCTTCTGTTAAACATAAAAGGAGACGTTTTGATGAATGTTCAGGATGCTGTTTTCCATACAATGAAAGAGGATGGAGACTAGCTATTGTAGTATTTTTTTTAATATATTATGATTTTTCTATACATTTTTATTATTTTTTTAACATTTTAGTTTGCTTTAATAATTTTGTTTTGTTAATTTTTTAGATATATTTTCAGCTATAATTTTTTTATTTCAGGTTTAGTTTCAGTATTTGAAACTAATACTTATATTTAATTATTTTTTAAATTATATTTTCACACAGGGCACGTTTACTGCAGTCCGAGTGCAATTGTTCCTGGCGCCCCCCCAGTAGTCGGAAATACGTACCAATTTTGTGTTTGTTGGCAAAGTAAATGGAAATGGATCGCATTTAAATGTGCATAACATTATTAATTTTACATTATGGTATTTATTTATGGACATTTTTTCCCCTTTGTACTGTGTTAAATTTCATTATGATAGAACTGCAATTCATTTATCTTGACAACTAATATAATGTTAAACATTAAAGGCAGGGTAGGCGATTTGTTCTAGAAACATTGTTTGTTATGCTGGTTGAAAGTCTCTTCACATCCTAATAACATGATGTCCTACAATGTCAAGATTCATCAGACTCAAAGCGTGAAAGAATGGAAAAAATATCACAAAAAAGAGTCGCATACATTTTTGGTCACGATCTTGTATTGACAATGCAAGAGTTGAGCGCTCTGTAAAGTCTCCTCCAGCACATCCCAAAGACTTTCAATTCATTTAAGTTCTAGGCTCAAAGGAGCCAATTCATTTGTGAAAGTGATTCTTAAATGTTCCCTCCCAAACATTCTTCCACAATTTGAGCTGATCTTGACATTGTGTTCCTGGAATATGGCCAATGACGTGTCTTCCTACAGTACATGGTTGTTTAAGAAATGAACAGCTACACACTCCGTCAATAAGGGTTAGAAGAACTGTTGCCAAAACAAATAACATGCTAGAAACCTAATAATCACAGCAATAATGATCTAGTCATAGACTCAGCATTTGTCTACTTAAATAGAAACAGCGTCTTTTGCACAGTATTCCAAGACTTCTAAAGCCATACGATGCTTAATGTGAACAGATTGAAATTTAAAATGTGACAACTGAAAATCATGCTAAGCAGTCACATGGTCTCCATTCACTTTCAATGCACGGACAAAACAGATCTTTTCATCTTCCAAAGTAGAAGGAAAGTCATACGGCAAGACACGAGGGTGAGTAAAGGACAAATTATTCAGTATTCCTTTAATAGATGGCATGCCGATGCATATAAAACCATGAAGCGTGTAAAAGGACAAAAGGGGAGCTCCTTTAATGCCTGCACATCCACGTACTTGAATGCGTCTCTAAACGTCTGAGGGGCGGACGTACGCAACTACGCATACCCGTCCATCACCTCCGGCTCGCACACCTTTTAAAAGCCCAGAGGTGTCTGTATAATCCTCGCGGTCGATATTTACCAGGTTGGCGCATGGAAGCATACGCAAGACGTGACGCTTCTCGCTTTCTCTTTCCCTCTAGTATATATACGCTTTTCTGTTGACGTGAGTCGTGTAACAATCTGTGCTGTTTCCATGACAACCACCTGCTGCTGTCCCCCCTCATCTGTCTCTCTCTCTCTTTTCCAGCCCTCCCTCCCATCCTGCACTCAACACTGTGTTGGTATTCCAAGGTCAAAGTGGGTCATGTGGCGATAGACAGAGAGATAGTGGCAGAGGTTTGGACGAGAGCGCGGGAGGATGGAGAAGAGTAAAAACCGCTGGAGAGAAGGCAGGACGCTTCTGGCTGCTCCTGTCTCAGCCTGTCCTCCTTTGAACAGATTAGAGCGCCGTGCCTTTGTTACATGCAGAGGAAATGAAAGCGAGAATAATTCAGTGCTGAAGCACATACTGAATCCACCAGTTTCCACCACACGTTCTTCAAACGAACAGCTTCAGTGCTCACGGGCGGCCCTGCCGGCGATGCATGCGCACATACAGTAACGCTTGTGTGTTTTGTGCAATGAAAGTGTTGAACCGTGTGTACGTGAGTGTCAGGGAATCACAACTTGTGCTGTGAGAGTTTAACCATGCTGTGTGCATGTGAGAAGGTTGCAATGACCTTGCTTGCTCCAGGCAGGAGGTGGAGTTTCACATATGGATCAGCCAGTCCATTGGAGTCCATGGCCTTCAGTCCCTGTGGGCACAAACAAACACACAAAAGCACATAGACTTCATGTCACGAAAGCTGTGCACACATGTCTTGATGGGGTAAGAGGTTCATAGATCGTATCCTTTCGGTAATATGCACACTTGTGTCTCTGGCGGGACCAGAGGGGAATCCTCAAACGCACTGACACGTGTGACATTAGAGTCAAGACTTGTTTAACTTAAGCTTTTTTGTTTATTTTTTTGCTTACTGAAGATAAATCATGAAATAAAATATTTTATTTTCATTTGGCACACTTTATGCATGCAAGTGCATTTTGTGTTTAGTAAATTCACAGTTCTAGTAATGGTATAGATTTTTATTGGACAATATTTTGCATCAAAATATATATAATATTAGCATATTAAAAAGATTTGTGCAATTTGTTAATATTTCAAAAGTACACTTTCAAAGACTAGGCCATTGCACACCGAGTCCGAAATTCGCATCCGAAATTTTCGCACGTTAAAAAAAAAATTCGACCTCACGTTATGTCAATCACGCTTGCACACCGCCTCCGAAACTTTCGTCCGTCATAAAATTAATCGGATCGGGTTCGATTTTCTGCGTTTTTCGCATCCAGAGCCAGCATTTTGAGAGGTCTTTTGACAATTCAGGGCCGGGGGGAGCTCGTCCTCAAATCATTGCATATGCGCCGTGCTTTCAGTTTCGGTTTTCAATTCGATCAAGTGTTTATGTTCTCTTCTCTATAGACGAATCCGACGAGCGTTCTTGTGTAGGCTACCATCTTGTGGCGACGCCATTACTGAGCTGTTACACCGGCATAGACATATGCACCGGGATGTAAACAAACCTCGGAGATAAGGTGATAACGCACCCTTGATGACAGCTACAGCCAGGCAGACTTGTTGGGTTGATGATGTTAGACATTGGCCTCCAGTCACAGATGAAGGTACAAACGATCTTACAGATTATTTATGAAAATAGCTTGGCAAGCAAGCTAGGCTAACATTTGCTACCGAGGAAACTATAAAAAGATCTGTCCATTTGGCAACAATAAATAAATAAATGAAATCAAATAAACAAATTCATGTTTTTCATTTGTGTCCATTATTTATCTAATTTTTACATTGCAACGGGCAAGGGTAAGGTAACGTTACAGCTAGAAAGTATACACAATATGACCAACTACTGTTTTTAAACCATGGAAAGAGGTCAATATAACAGCAGGAGAACAATTATGTCACATAACGTTATATTTAGCTCAGGAAAGCCATTTAATGACCATAGCATGTAAATTGAATAGAAAAAATAACAAGAGAGGAGATTTTGCTGATCACTATATCACACATTTATTATATTTTTTTTACTTATGTCATTAAATAATTGTTATTATACGCGAATGTCCGCGTCTTTTACTCGCCCAGGAAATCTGTGTTTACCGTACGGCTCCAGACAGGGGCAGTCGACCCGGGGTATTCACAATGTTTTCTCTTCAAAATTGAAATTTTACTGCCACCATTGAAACAATTTATAACAGAAACTGTTTACCCACTCGACATTATACAAGGGCTAACGTTGTAACGTTAGTGTCAGTCGTAAATCTCGAGCTGTTTATTCCAGTGGACGCAAGTTGCAACTAAAACAATAGAAGGCAATGGCGCAACGCTACCCAGCAACAGCTCAGTAATGGCGCCCGCTTACTTCCGGTAGTTTCGCCGGATTCGTCTATATTGAATTATGAAATTAATAAACCCCCCCTTTCAATCAGATTGAAATTTAGGATCGAATAAGGTGTGATTGAGCAGCCTATTCGATAACTAATGTATTATTTGGGCACAATATACACAATAACAGCCTAGCTGTTCTGTCTGCCCAGCGCTTCCAACGGGCCGCGCGCGGGTGTGTGTTTGTCCGTGTGTGTGTCTATACCTGGTCCATTTCAGACTGACACACTGCCAGTCTCCGTTCAGAATCGATTGGTTCACGGAAATTGGTGGTCTTGTTTTTAATATGTGGCTCCAGGATCGCTAGCAAAGCATCGAACTGTCCCACTGACATTCTGAGGTAAATTTTTAATCGCTCAGGATAAATTCGCAACTCCTTGATAACTCTCCTTCCTCTCGGCGCAATTTCAGGATTGGATGGACGTAATATTTTCTCTTTCTTCTCTTTTCAATAAGAGAGAGGGCAAAAATCATCCTCACTGCTTGACGAATCCATTTGGTATTTTTCCGTTTTTTCCCGCAAAGGTTTAAGAAATACGCAACGGACTCGGTGTGCAAGGTTTCTATGCGTGACGAATTTTTAGGCTGACGAACACGAAAATACGCATAGGCTACGAATATTTCGTACTCGGTGTGCAATGGATTTAATAAAAGCCACAAAATGTAAATTTGTGCAAAATGTTTTCTTCATCTATAGGCAATTTTATGTTCCAGTGGTTGATTTAAACTACTCTTTTCCAGGACCAAGAGTAAAATATACATTATTACATTCTACAACTACTGCATTATAATCTAAAAAATGTTAAATAATCTGTGAAATTAAATTATGACTGCCCCTCAGTTTCCAATTCATTTTAACCACAACAAACACTTTTCGGGCCTATTTCTTGTTTGCGTTGTGAACATTTAAAAATATAATTTGTGATCAGAATCTTTTTATTGTGTATAATTACCAAACAAGCTATTAAATGTACCACATGGTGCAAAGCATACAAACACATACTGTATAATGCTTGCAGGCTATAACAATTTCCATAGCAAGACAGGAACGTTTTCAAATGTCAATTCCACCATCAAATATTATCAAACTCAATACACAATTGGAGATGTGGTGAAAATGTTTTTAGATTCGGAAGACTATAACAAAAATTCAACTTTTAGACATTAAGAGAAAGAGTGAGAGTGTGGATGTGCTTTAAGAGAGTTTATTTTTAAAAGTGCCCAATAGTGTTTGTGTGTGTGTGCAAACCTACCTTGGCCTTGTGGATGGTGCAGTGCAAGCAGTTATTGTCTTGGTCAAATAGCAGGTTGAACTCCAGAGTTCCTAGGTAGGCTGAAAAAACAAAAACAAAAGAATAACTTAATATCTTGCACGCATTATATGAGCAAAAATAGAGGCCTAGAACAATCCAAAAGAGTAAGTCTTGCCTGTAATGACCTAATCAGGGCTGTGCACATACAGAGGGCTTGTAATGTTTATGCACCATTACAGAGACTAATGAACTATTTAACACTCCGATCGCGTACCTCAGTTATCTCACACACTCACACCAATCCGGCCAACACCACATAAAGCAATCAATACTGAACAGTGTGAGATGCAGGTCCAGGCAGATGGGAAGAGCTCATGCCTCATTGGCTGCTTACTGGTGAATAAAATCAGTCAGTCAAACAAAGGGAATCCAGAACATGAAATGTCAATGGATTTATCTATGTGGGGAGTTATGTAATAGAGAAGCATGCAATGAAAAAAAGTGATGTGGTCTAATGGTTCAAGATTTGGGCTACTAGTGACACAGGTTGTAGGTTCAAAGCCCACAAGGACTCCTCCAGGTACTATTACCCTTGTGTCCTTGAGAGAAGCACTTAACCCTCAGGTCGTTCCAGAGGGATGTCAGTAGCTTTGTGAAAAATGCTTCTGCAAAATGATTACTTAGAAGAAGAGCGGAGCGTAAAATACACTCGCAAAGGGATACAAACGTGAAACAGTCACTAGCCACGAGGCAAACTCACTGTCATCGTCATCCGAGTCGACGAACTCTCCGTTCTCCTCTTTCTCTCTCTCCCTCTTGTGGTCTTTCTCTCCGTCCGCGTCTCCGTCCTTGTCTTTGTCCTTTAAAATCTGCTTCTCCCGGGGAGGAAGGGGGGTGATGGGGAAGTCGTGGAAACGAGGGAAGAAGTCTGAGATCTGTGGGATGGGGAGGATGGGGCCGGGGCACACATTGATGGCAAAGTGCTCCTGCATGGAGATCTTCACCGGGGAGGGAGGGGGAGGCACAGCTGGGCTGGGGGGACCCGCAGCGGAGGGAGGGGAGGAGGGAGAGAGGGAGGAAGAGGAGGATGGAGGCAGGGAGAGATGGGATGAAGGGTTGCTGGGGGGGAAATGGGATTGGGGTGGAGGTGGTTTGGAGACGCTCATCGGGACCACTGGAAAGAACTATGGAGATTGTGAGATTGAGATTGTGAGTGTGAGGGAGAGGGAGAGAGAGAGAGAGAGAGATTTTAAAACAACAAAACCTTTTTAAATGAACTTTTTAAGGAATAATGGGTTAAAAAATAAACCTAAAATAAATTGCTTAGCAAAATTAAAAATGACCCAAAACTTGTCATTTCCCTCTTCCTTTAAAATAAACGTAACAGTAAACTTTTAAAAATAAAATAAAGCAAAATAGTTAATTACCCTTGGTTATTTGCCAAAAATAGTAAATTACCCTATTAATTTCATTTCAAATAAACGTAAAAAAAATATATATATATATATGGTCATTTTTCTAGAATTTCTTTGTGGGGAAAAAGCAGCTTGGACAGTCTGCTAAATATCTTTTTTATGTACTCAAAACAAAAAAGTACAGGTTTGGAAAGACGAGGATAAGTAAATATTTTTTGGGTGAACTGTCTTTAATTCAAAATATGTTTTATCATCTTACATAATTCCAACCAATCTTATGGTGCCAATTTTTGTCCAAGGCAAAACTGAAAATGAAATATTTGGTGTGACAAATGAAACTCAAGAATGCCCCACGGCCCCTGATCCAGACAGATAAAGACGTGTGACAGACTTTCTGATGATAATATCTTTCATTACCAGTAATGCTGCTGTTTTGATTACACTACTTCCCTAAGGACAGAGATATAGAGTCGGTTTCATACGAGTCCTCTTCTGTGTGATCTATCTCTGTCTCAAGCATTCTCTTTCAATCTCTGTTTTTCACATCTTCCCCTGTAGTTCGTAAAATTCTTGTCTCATGAACTAGACCGTCTAACAAGCCAAAAATAGAATAAGCGAGATAAAATGGCACTGTTATGAGGCAAAACAAAGTTGTTTTCCCTTTCTGCTTTGTGTGATTGCTGACAATGCCACACTAATGAATGTTATTGTAAGTCTAAAATATCAAATACACAATGTACTACACAGTTTTACTTCGCCTCTTCAATTATTTGACTAAAACTGAAGTGTTGTACAAAAAACATAAATCAACAATAATATTTGTGCTTTGCACATACAGATGTCTATCACATGATGTGTGGCAAGACGGTTATTTCAATACGTGAGGCTAGTAAGATACAAAAAAACACTGTCACGTGCACACAAGGCTGTCAGGCTGCGTAACGAACCAACAGACACACATCATACGCAGAGTTAAGCAGAAGTGCAGATAAACACAGCTACTAGTGCACAATGACTTATAAACACACACATACACACAGAAATGCGTTCCAATGTACACTCATAAAAATACACCTGCAGGCAACATACAATCACTAGGAGACACGCAGAAGTGTGGATGTGCCTGTGAATGTGGACACAGGCACACACACACACTAACAGGTGGTCAAGCTGATACACAAACCTGCATTATCAAGTGGACAAAAACAAAGGCATTCAGACACATATTCACTCAACACACACACTCACCCAATGACAGTCTTCATCTGTTCCAGCACTCCATCTTGTCTCCACTCATGGTCTCTCTCACACACACTGAAGAGAAACCAACGTCGTTTTGTATCAATATACCCTCCCTCGTTCTCTGTCCTCCTCTCACACTCTCCCTCCCCGCTCACTACTCTCTCTCTCTCTCTCTCTCGTGTCTCGGTTGTGACGTTTTCTATAAATTCTCTGCGCACCGTGTTCACTGATCTGCCACTCTCACAGTACTGCTGAGATTTAACAATGAGAGAGCGCGCTGAGATGAGAGATGAGAGAGAGAGAGAAACGGAGAATGTATGTGAAAGAAAAAAGGCATAGTGAGTTAGTAAAAAGATAAGATCAAGAAAAAACTGCAGAGAAGTTATAGAACGCCGGGGCTAGTTGTCCCAAGTCACTTTCTGTATAGCCATGTTACCTTAAAGGAATAGTTAACCTAAAAACAAACATTTTATATTCTGACATTATTCACTCACAATGATGTTCAGAAAGGCCAGGGCAGTCTCATCCAAAGACGTCATATAACTGACGTCTTGTGACCATACGTCAACATCCGCCTATTTAGGGTACCCTAAAACGTCGGTTAGATGACGTTATCGGATCCTAACCCTACCCCAGACCTAAACCTACCCCTAAACCTAAACCTAACCGACGTTAAAGGTAAAGCGTCAGTTGTATGACGGCCCGGGATCGTCATGTAACCGACGTTTAAGGGTACCCTAAAAAGGCGGATGTTGACGTATGGTCAAAAGACGTCCCAAGACGGCAGTTATATGACTGTGTTAGAAAGGCAGCATCCGAAAATGCATATTCGCCCATAGCAGGGCGAATAACAATATGTGAAAAAAGTAATTTCTCAGAACCTAAACCTCTGGGTAGGAGAGGATCCCTCTTGTCCTTTGTGTTCATCACCTGCCACATTAAGGCACATTCTGACAGGATGTAAGGTGGCTCTTAGCCAAGGTCGTTTAACTTGGCGCCATGACCAAGTAGGCTACTGCGATGTTTGGCTTTAGCATTGGAAGGCAAGTGTAGCATGACCAATAAGTTGCCGCCTGTTCTAGCAAAACATTACACGCGGAAGACAATATTCCTCCGCCCAGGTGAGCAACCACCAAGAAAAGGTGTTAACACCAAGTCTCGCCCAAGACAACTGGAAGCTGCTCGGGACTGGAAGATGATGGCTGATCTTGATCAACGAGAGTCCAGGTTTATCCAGTGGAAGTGGGTTGTCGAGGTTTTGTGGCACACTCTACAACCCGGTTCCTCAGAGACGTCGGATTCAGTGGCCAAGCGTTGCGTCGCACAGTAAAGAACTTATCTGAAGCCATAGACATATACACTAGACCTCACCTTGGCAACGGCAGTTCATTGGAACGAATGCGTCAATAGAGCCGCCATCTTGAAACAGGGGAGCCCCTCCACTTTAATGCATCAGCGTCAATGTAGTAGACACAGGTCTAACGGAAATAAAATCACCATAAATCATCATGAATGCGATTTTTCTTGTTTTTTTTTTTTGGTTTGTTCCAATGGTCAGACATGTATCATTGATTCCAGAAAGAAAAAATGATTTTTTTTTTTTTTAAAAACATTCTTCCTAGTTCAGATTTCATCCGTGAACATCATACGCTGCACAAAAGTCCGCCAACATCAATGAATTCGAAGTAAAGGCAGAGATAGCAGCGACCTAGCTACTTCCTATGACAAGACCCCTGTTCCAAGATGGCGGCGGTTTTGACGCATGCTCAGAACCCCAAGGTGAGGTCTAGTGTATATGTCTATGATCTGAAGCAGCACAAAGGAGCAGCAACTGGCTGTGGTTGAGACGGAAAGATTCTAGCTGGCTGTGTACAGGCCACCATGCTATCGTTTCGTAGAATTCTTGAAAAAGGTGAAGAGTCTGTTTATTTGTATAGGTTACAGAGTATTTACAGTCATTACGTTCCTGTGTATATTGCGTGAATGACGGGTGGTTGGGCAGATATTCTGTTTTGCGGTTGGTGGTATGTCATATGGAACCGTTGCCACTGAAACTGCTTTAACGCACCAGTGGGGCTCGACAGCCTTAGTCAAACATGTTGGCGCGTATGGTTGGGTTGCGGAGAGTTTGTGAGATTGTGGTTAGGGGCAGCAAACGGGATGTAGAGGTCAGTAAGCTGGGCTGAGTTGAGTTGAGGACCGAGGGGAGTGAGTCTGGGACACTAGAGTCACTGTCGAGCCCTCTTGAGGTGTCGTGGGCTAGCCGACGAAACACTGAGGATGGAAGGAGCCCACTTGAATGTCCCCTACTCAGCTCAATCCAGATGGTTGTCGTGCTGGTCCACTAGGGAGACCGCACTGTAGTTGCAGCCGTCGTGTGTGCTGACACGCAAGTACACTGCAGCCGTTAACGCCAGGCAGAAGAGGAGTCACACCACCATATGGAAAGAAGCGTAAATGGATGAAGCATTGTTTACTGTAAAGCTACGTCTTAGTTTTGCTTGTCTTGGCGAAAGTCTAGTATAAATCAGCATGAAGTTCTGAAAAAGAATCATGAATTCTGAATAGTGTAGATGACACTTCACTATCCCATGAGGTCATGGGAGGATTTATGAATGGCAGTGAAGCAACGCAACTAACACTGGTAGGTCACATGATAAGGACAACATGTCAAATGTAGTACGTCCAGATTACAGTCCTACTACACATTCATATTATAGAACATATTTTTTAGCAGTAATGTCATGTGGTAATTACTTATTCAAAATAAGTACCAACTCAAGAGAGTATGAGATTTCAGACACAGTCTAGGTCTAAATGATTTGTTTTCGAATGAATCGTGAAAATGTGGTTCGAGTTAAAAAAATTCGGTAAAGCAATTATGAAAAAAAACTAATCCATGTGAAAACAAAGTCCCACTGTAGTCAATAATCTTATCCCATAAAACTCCGATAACCAAAATAACATATTTAAAAAAAGATTGAGGTGAAAAAAAAATTATTCATGCCTTAAAATGAATGTATCTCGTCTACACCCTTGGCTCATTTAGTGTGCGCGAAAAATTCAAATCAGCCCCGCCTCCATTCACTCACACCAGCTTAGAGATTCACTCAGTCAATTTACTGAGGTAAACGCTGCACAATGGTGTTGCACTTGACAATGTCGGACACATAACGGTAATTAATATGATTAGCCTTTTGCTTGATTATGTTAGCAAACAGCTAATAATGTGTTGCTAATGTTACACAAACCATGTTCCTGTTCGGCACCCCAGAGTCAGACAGCTGCCTTCTAGAAATCAGCATCCTTAGAAACGCTTTGAGCAACTCAGAACGTCAGTGGAGAAAGGCATATAGTGCATCATAACATCGTGATACACATCATAAACCCGCCATATCGCTACATCTACCAGATGTTTCATATCAACAGAAAAATATACCGGGATAACTTGGCTCTTGAGACTCCCCTGCTAGTTCACTGTTAATGATATGCTAAAGCCCGCCGACATGATTGGTTAAGGTAGTTTGTGATGTCACAGACATCAGCGATTTCAAACGGCGGGTTTGAGACTGTTTTTTTTTTTTTTCATATTGCAGTTTTAAGGAGAAAATAATCAGCAATGGTGTTGACTTATGAATTTGCACATGGTCTTGAAGCATATTAAAAACACCACATAGACATATAAACAACATTAAAAAGCTGATTTTCACCACAGTGGGGCTATATACACTCACCGGCCACTTTATTAGGTACCCCATGTTAGTAACGGGTTGGACCCCTTTTGCCTTCAGAACTGCCTCAATTCTTCGTGGCATAGATTCAACAAGGTGCTGGAAGCATTCCTCAGGGAGTTTGGTCCATATTGACATGATGGCATCATACAGTTGCCGCAGATTTGTCGGCTGCACATCCATGATGCGAATCTCCCGTTCCACCACATCCCAAAGATGCTCTATTGGATTGAGATCTGGTGACTGTGGAGGCCATTTGAGTACAGCGAACTCATTGTCATGTTCAAGAAACCAGTCTGAGATGATTCCAGCTTTATGACATGGCGCATTATCCTGCTGAAAGTAGCCATCAGAAGTTGGGTACATTGTGGTCATAAAGGGATGGACATGGTCAGCAACAATACTCAGGTAGGCTGTGGCGTTGCAACGATGCTCAATTGGTACCAAGGGGCCCAAAGAGTGCCAAGAAAATATTCCCCACACCATGACACCACCACCACCAGCCTGAACCGCTGATACAAGGCAGGATGGATCCATGCTTTCATGTTGTAGACGCCAAATTCTGACCCTACCATCCGAATGTCGCAGCAGAAATCGAGACTCATCAGACGGCAACGTTTTTCCAATCTTCTATTGTCCAATTTCGATGAGCTTGTGCAAATTGTAGCCTCAGTTTCCTGTTCTTAGCTGAAAGGAGTGGCACCCGGTGTGGTCTTCTGCTGCTGTAGCCCATCTGCCTCAAAGTTCGACGTACTGTGCGTTCAGAGATGCTCTTCTGCCCACCTTGGTTGTAACGGGTGGTTATTTGAGTCACTGTTGCCCTTCTATCAGCTCGAACCAGTCTGGCCATTCTCCTCTGACCTCTGGCATCAACAAGGCATTTCCGCCCACAGAACTGCCGCTCACTGGATGTTTTTTCTTTTTCGGACCATTCTCTGTAAACCCTAGAGATGGTTGTGCATGAAAATCCCAGTAGATTAGCAGTTTCTGAAATACTCAGACCAGCCCTTCTGGCACCAACAATCATGCCACGTTCAAAGTCACTCAAATCACCTTTCTTCCCCATACTGATGCTCGGTTTGAACTGCAGGAGATTGTCTTGACCATGTCTACATGCCTAAATGCACTGAGTTGCCGACATGTGATTGGCTGCTTAGAAATTAAGTGTTAACGAGCAGTTGGACAGGTGTACCTAATAAAGTGGCCGGTGAGTGTATATATATATATATATATATATATATATATATATATATCCACAAAGAAGAAAAACATTTTGAATGCTGGTAAAGAAAAAGCAGAGGAATGTTTAGTCAGGAAAAAGTATCTATTCTAACAGGAAAAAAACTGCACAAAATCCACCATCATCAAAGCTTTGCTGCAGCACTGACTATAGAAACAATGAGGGGAAAAGGGGATCATGGGAGCTTGTACGTGACCAGTTGGTGCTGAGATATGCTAGAGATATACTCAT